GGTGGACTAGATAGCAATTGGAACGCTGATTCCAAATCTGGTTTTGATTTTCCTCTAGCACGTCAAGTTTTCGTGATGAGACCGATCAATATTGAATGGTTATTGCCTTGATTATAATGTAAGTTGTTGTACATTTATTTTTTCGTAAGAGTGTACTGTATAAATTTGATCAAATGTATGGTGTATGTGTAACGTTTATGGGAATTATATTGAAAAATAAATAAAGTTGTAACGTTAACTAGCCTAATGTGTGATTTTTACCAAGATTGTGCTGAAATTAACACGAGTCATACTTCGATAACTAGATGTTCTAGAAGAAACCCGAAAACATATTTAGAATCAGCGTGCAAAACTGGTCTAGAAAAGCGTACTTACATCTTTTATGAGAGAAAAATGTTCGATTTTCTCGACCAGTGTTGTTTAATCTTAGTTCATTACTCTAGTAACTACCGAAGTAATCTTGTGAACGTTTATATAACCATACGTGGAAGTATTCCATAGCTGATAATTCCTTAATCTATTTCAAGTAAAGATATGCGGAATATTTTTAATTGTTGTAATGAAAATTAATGCGTCGGTTTTCTTGAACACATCAGTTTAAGAAAATCTAATTTATATTGTTGATTATATCATATATTACTTGTGAAACGACGAACGTTCTAATTTCATTACTCTCCAAAAACTTTTAATGGCAATTCAATTAAGGTTTCATTATAAAATGTATCTTATTCCTATTCAATGAGCCTGGCATGGCCAGGTGGTTAGGTCACTCGACTCGCAATTCGCGGGTTCGAATCTCCGTTCCACCAAACATGCTCGTCCTTTCAACCGTGGGGGCGTTATAAAGTGATGGTCGATCCCACTATTCGTTTGTAAAAGAATAGCCCAAACGTTGGCGGTGGATAGTGATGACTAGCTGCCTTACCTCTAGTCTTACACTGCTAAATTAGGGACGGCTAGTGCAGATAGCCCCCGTGTAGCTTTGCGCGAAATTCAAACCAAACAAACAATCTTTTGATAAAATAAATTATACACTTTTCCTACCACTTAATCCACAGAACACAAATACCAAGCAAACATAATGTTACACACACATATATAACTTGAAAACATAAACGGACATGGCCCTGAAAAGGAAAGTAGCAATAGAATTTCAACAAATCAAATCAAACCAGCCAACCAAAACCGAAACCCAAGAAGTCAGAAACATATAATACCAACACAGAAGGGAGGAAGAGGTCTACTAGAACCTGACCCTCCCTGGTCGTAAAACGATCTAAATTCCGACCAGGAGAGAGAGAGAGAGAGATAAAATAAATTATACGATGAAAAGTCATCTGAGAATTCGAAAGTAGAATGAAAACTCTTTTCTTCCTATTCATGTATTGAAGAGATAGTATGGTGACTCCTGTAGAAGATAATCGTGTTTGTAGAGGAAGATGCCTTATATTATATAACTTCAAGTTGTAGAGCTTCTTATCCGTTTCGAATGAAATCATACTTCTCACTGTACTAAATACATTACCTTTTTTTTTTAAACATCAAGTACATTTATTTTCCAATAAATGACTTATTCTTGAATCTTCGATTTCAATTTTACTGCTAAGGCGTGAGTAAGTAACGCAAGATATCGCTTAGTAGTTATTATGCCTTGTACGCTTGTAGAAGTATTGTTAGCTTTTATTTGTTCCAGGCTGACTTATTTACGTTTCAATGCTGGCATGGGTAATTACTTTTATAAGGAGGAAAGTCGTCTACGTCCTGTCTTTATGTTTTTCTACTCAAATTATTTATAGTTGTGTTGCGATTGATTTTACGTCAAAGAAACATGACAAATGACTCTAATGGTGTGAAGCCATAGAAAATACTAATAATTATTTATTCCTGTGGGCTTTACGAAGGCAAAATAAACGTATTAGTTTTATTAAACAAAAATATGACAGTACAGTCTGTCAGTTGTTATTAAAATAACCAAGTTTTGTTTTATAGGATCTGATTATTCTTCACTGCCAATATTTGAAATACTGTCACCAATGTATTGCAAAATAGATAAACCTCACTTGCAGATATTAATAGATAATATATATTTTATTTCACCTGACATTAAATAATGCTTGCAACCCGGTTGTTATTGTTTGATGTTCCACAAAAATTATTTAAAAGTTTCTGGTGCTCTCGGGTTTTTCACTGCAACTTTTTGTAGTAGGTATAAAAATGGTTGAAAGAAAAATAGACTCACAATATAAAGTTTTTCCCCAAAAAAGTTGTAAAATAATACAAATGTTAAAACAAATAAACGTAAATGCGTATACTTATCATTTACTGCACTAAGCTGTCAGATCTTAGGTCGGTGGATTTTGATATTGTGCCACAATACGCTCAACTGTGTAAATTGAGACTTTCCGGTTGAGTGTACAAGAAAGTCTTGTATCTTTCTAGATAAATACGTTGTTTCCCAAGGCGACGTGCTCAACCATCCTATCAAGTGTTTGTTTGAGCAGCGTGGAAGTTCTGTTTTTTTTATGTGTAGCACAACTAATAAACGAACACATAATTATAACTTATGGAAAGAGAAAAGCTAGTAAGAAACTCTCTACCATGTAGATGAAAACAGAAGCCTAATTGTAGAAAAATTACAACCCTGTAGCAAAACAAAAACTTACTTCTACGTTGTTCATAATGGCCATCTGAGCTTTATGAAAAATAAACTTAGTTTCTGCTCTTGAATCCTCTTTTATGCTTGTCGGTGTTTTCCTATTATTCACCCGATTTGTTATATATGGTAATCTGGATTATTTCTTGGAACTGTTGGTGTCACTGTAAGACGCTGTGTCTGCCATGGTAACGATATTTTATGTGTTTAAGAGGCTAAAGTTGCGCGCGATTTTTAGAATGCGCACATTTGCACTTACATCTGTGAAGTTCAGCATTTCTCTCACTTGGTATAAATCTATCTTCCTGCCAAGTTGTAGGTTTATCTTGTTGCATCATGTTTGTTTTTTAACCAAATAAATATTTATTGCGTCACTGTCGATAACGTTTTAAGCAACTTAATAACCTACCACTTCCTGTCATAGTGACTGGTTAAACACTTATAAAAGTTTTCTATAAAACAAATAATAATAAAATGCACAAGCGGAGTTCAATTTAAAGCGTGGACAACCGAAAGGGTTTTTAATATCTCGAATTACTGATTTCTTCACATAACTGCGACGACAACACAGCATGTATTAAACCTTCGATTCTCTAGTTTCTATAATTCGTGTACGCCTATCGTTGTTCATATTTCGACCTCGTAGTTTTTATCTAGATATGGATATAAAAATTCGAATATTTTAATAATAACAATTAAAGAAAATATTCAAAACTTGTACGAATTTTTTTGATGATACCGCGGTTAATAACTAATGCATCCAATCAGTCCGCCAAATATTTAATTAGGAAAATTGGAGATTTGAAATTTTCGAAGAAACGTCACGCTAATTAGTTCATGGAAAGTTTG